AACATGGCACATTAACTTCTACACCCTCTTATGGACTCTCAGAAATCTAGGCCTGAGCACCCTGGGGTGAACGGTGCCTCCAGGAACAATCTAGAAGACATTGCTTCAGCCAACAGCGGTCCCTTCCTCCACCTGCCCCCACCTGTCTCCGGGTATGAGTCAAGGGCTGGCACTCCACACAGGGCAGTTACACAAGCCAATTGTTACAAAAATAACAGCTACGGCTCAGGGTGTTTGCTCGCAGAATCTCACTTAGTCCTCAGGACAGTCTGTGCAGCAGGCACCATCCCTGCTTCGGTGATGAGGGGCCCAGCCCAGAGCTCCAGCTTCCCCCAGTGCAGCCTTCTGCCTGTCGTGAGGGCGCAGCCACACCTCACTCAAGGCAGGCCCTCCACGCGCTGTGGATCTATCTGCTTGAGTTCCCAGCAACCTAGAAAGAAAGATTTTTGTATCGCCCCTGTTTTATAGAAGAGAAAGCAATCTTGGATGAGTGACGGATCTCCTCCAAGCTGCCTCCAGAAGTCAGTGGAGGTGCAGAGACTCATGCCCTGAGCTCACATTTCACCCCTGGCTTCCAGGCTGCCTCCCTTAACCCCAAGAAGAGCATGCCTGGGGGCCTCCCCGTGTGGCTTAGGAATAAACTCCAATCTCACAGAGCAGCCGTGTGGCCAGGCTCTCAATTCTGGAATTCTCCATGGATTTTTTTTGTGTATGGCAGGGGATGAAGAGCAGGGACGCAGGTAGCAGGTGTACGCATGCAGGAATCACCTGCTGGATTTGGTGAAAATGTAGATTTGACTTGTGGGTCTGGGTGGGGCCTGAGCATCTGCATTCTAACCAGCTGCCAGGTGATACAGCTGCTCCCCTCGTCAGTCCCACCTTTAGGAGAAAAGGGACACAGCACTACGTACAGAACAGTTGCATCATACCAAGACGTGGTGTTGTCCCCAGGACAACCCAGGACTGTGGTGGGCTGTGTGTTAAGACCTGATGTTGCTAAGGAGGCTCAGTGAGCGGAAAGGGGCTGCTGGCCCCAACCTCCCACGGACTGACTTCTGCACCTGCGGCCCTCCTGGCCTCTGGGCTCGCTGTTGATAGTGGATGTGTCTTCTCCATTTTTGATTGCCCAGTGCTTGGCCTGGCCCCTGGAATATGCTAGATGCCCAATACTATGGACTGAATGACAGCAAAAAGGGAGGGCGCGAAGAAGTAGGTGGATGAGTTTGATGGAAAAACGAACACGTGCATCAAGGAAGACACTGCTGGGGTGCGATCCATGTTGGTAGCACTATATAAGGCTTGCACTTGTCTATGATGCACACGAAATGGACGGCCTATGTCCTTAATCGGCAGAAAGAACTGAGGCTCACTCATGTGGCTTTATGCATTTCTGTAGTCCCACAGGGTGTAGACCCCTACCTTGCATATGGCAGTCTTCTAGAACCAGAGAAACCTCTGGATATTTAAAAGACATAAGGGGCTGTGCTGGTTAACTTTGTGTCAACTTGGCTGAGCTGCCATGCCCAGATATTTGGTCAAACATTATTCTGAATGTTCCTGTGAGGGTGCTTTTGACTGGATTAATATTTAAATCAGTGGGCTTTGAGTAAAGCAGGTGACATTCCATAATGTGAGTGGGTCTCACCCAATCAGATGAAGGCCTAAAGAGACCGAAGAGTGACCTCCCCCGAGCAAGAAGGAATTCTGCCAGGCCTTTGGGCTTGAACCGCAGCCCAAAGCTTTCCCATTCTGCATTCTGCTGGCCAGCCTGCAGATTTTGGACGCAACAGGCTCCATAACTGTGTAAACCAAATCCTTAAAATAAATCTCTCTCTACACACACATGCTACTGGTTCTGCTCTCTGGAGAACCCTGGCTAATGCACGTCAACAGTGAGCTCCACTCTGCAGCAGGCAGTGCACTGCTCATCCCACAGGAACCAACGTGTAACACGTGGCCTTCCACGGAGACTGTGGGGTCAGAGTACATCTCTAACCCAGGGGAAGAGGCTGCTGTGCCTTCACACAGTGGCTGTCATACTCCAGTGTCAACAGAGGTGCTATTAACAGGGCATTCCCCAGGAACTTTTCCTGGGATCCCAACTCAGAAAGTCCACAGGATCGTATTTCACCCTGCACACCCAGCCCCAGATGAGTCCAGCATCTGGGACCCTCACATCACACTTTGAGGGTAAAAGAGGGAGAGGAGGAGGGAGGTCAGAAGGGAGACAGAGAGGAGAGCAGTGGGGCGGGAGGAAGGAAAGACGGGAAGGAGAAGGGCAGGGAGGAGGGAAGAGCTTTGCTCCTGGTGTGGTTTCCCCCTAACCACTCCCCCGGAGCACCCACCATTCTGGGTCAGTACAGCAGCCAACCACCAAGGGCACGGCTGTGATGCCAGCTCCTTTCCCACATGGGTGCCACCTCCCATCAAGCTCCCATCACCCCTTTCCAGCATGGTAGCCAGGCCGCAGCTATTGCCACCAACCCAAACCCCACTCCTCTGACCCCCACACCCCACCCATTGCCAGCCTGGAAACCAGTCCCAGCGCTCACCTGGGAGTACCCTTGCTCTTCAGCTCCCACACCTGCCTCTCTGTTCAATCCATGGCCCTGAGCTGGATGGAGGGGCCCATGACAGACAGAATGGCACGGCCCTACCCTGCCCGCCATGCTAGCCATGCCCTTCCCGAGATGCTGCACACCCACTGTGTCCCCTCTGCAGTGCATGGGCAGCTGTGACTCCACTCTGTCCTCCTCATAGAGCTCCTAGGAGCCTGCATGCCCCCAGCAAATGAGCCACCAGGATGGTGAGCTCAGGGTCATCCGCCCAAAACCCAGCGCTCTTCCCTCTTCCAGCAGAGCAGGGCGACTCCACCACCCACAGTCACCAAGTGCAGGGCGTTTCCGGCCCTACAGTGGGAGCCAAACCTGAAAGCCCTGGAAAAATTGAGTGAGGAGTGAGGAAGAGAGGAAAAAGGGCACTGAAGCCATTCCCCATGCAAGAAACCACCCTCCGGATGGGACAGGTACCAAGCAGAAGACTCAAGCAACTGCCCCAGACTCACTGGAGCTCAGAATCCAGCACTTTGTAGCCTCCATTAATGATTGTAAAAGTGGCAACATTTGTAAACAGCATTTCCACAGAAGGTTTTCCTTTGGTTTAATAATGACTGTTTAGAGAAAGTCATGACCTCCCTAAAACACAAAACAAAAGCAACAGAACCCCCCAGAGGCTGCATTTGAATAGTTCCTGAGGAAATTCAAGTCACGGAGAAAAGAAAGATCACAGGAAAAGAATCAGCTGCATTATTAAAAAAAAAAAAAAGTGGCCTAAATTACAACAGATCTCAGGAACGGCTTCCTAAGATAGATTTCTGACAAAAGAACACACAATAGCAAAAACCTGGAACCAACCCAAATGCCCATGGATGATAGACTGGACAGGGAAAATGTGGCACATATACACCATGGAATATTATGCAGCCATCAAAAACGATGCGTTTGTGTCCTTTGTAGGGACATGGATGAACCTGGAAACCATCATTCTCAGCAAACTGACAGAAGAGCAGAAGATCAAACACCGCATGTTCTCACTC